TAAAACTCAAAACGTAACGATTATTTTCCGATCAAAAAATAAAACGTAAAACGTACCATTATTTTCCGAGCAAAAAAATACAACTTAAAACGTAACTATTATTTTCCGAGCAAAAAGTAAAGCTCAAAACATAGCGATTATTTTCTGAGTAAAAAAGAAAACTCAAAAAATAATAATTAAACTTGATTTTTATAAGTAAAAATTAAAAAAAAAAAATCAGTGCCGCTGAAGGTATTCCGAGTAGTAAGAAATATATTGGTCTACTCCTTATGCGTGCAGCATTTCTCTTTCAGTGTGATTTTTTGAGTAGAAAATTTAAAAAGTAATCGTTATTTGCGGTCCCTGGAAACAATAGATTTTCCACAAACTGCTTCTCACGCTCTCAGATGCGAAAAGACTGTGAAAGTAAATTCAATTGTGTATACTACCAAAGGAGGCATCATTCGATGGTCCATGTTAATAATTTTACCCCCCAAAATGGCTCTTAACTATCAAAGAGCCACAAGGCTAGTTGCAACAGCTAGACCCAAAAACCCCGAGAATCTCGAAATAGAAACCGAGAAACCAGGCTGTTCAAAAACAGCAAATATGCAAGCGCTTCATTCAGGAAATGAAAGCATAATTTTACTGCCAACTGCGATTTTCTCGATTGAACATCGAGGAGAATTATTTTAGCTTAGATATCTAACTGATGAAGGCTCACAAAGATCGTTTATCTCATCAAAAGTACAAAACCGGTTAAAACCCCCAAGCACAAACTCAAACTTTGAAATTTCGGGAATGGGTGGAAGAGTAATACAAAACTCGAATAAAATCTGTTTATCAACCCTGATTTCCTCCAATGCGGATGTAAGAATAGAGGCACACGCCATTGTTCTGCCGCAACTAACAAATATGCTTCCAAGCTATGAAATAAATGGCAAAGATTGCTAAAAATTTGCCCACCTCAAATTAGCGGATCCCAATTGCCACACCCCCGCGCAAGTTGATATCCTATTAGGCAGCGATCTAATCCCCCAAATAATGCTATAGAAGGAATTGGAAAAATCTCAAATACCCTATTAGCCAAAAATATCATCTTCGGTTGGATTCTAAGCGGCCAAGTAAAAGAAAAAGTGCCGGTATTTACAACTCAAGTTGAAGACATTTTAAACGAATACCTCAATTCTCAATTAAAAAGATGTTGGGAGTTAGAAGAACTCCCCCCATACAAGTCACTACCCTAGCAGATAAAGCTTGCGAAGATTATTACAAAGCCACAACAACGCGAGCACAAACGGGTCGATATGTCATTTAAGCCCTAATTCCCGCACACACTCGCCCTAGGTCGCTCCCGAACCTCTGCACTTCAGCAGTTTTTAAGTATGGAAAAAACCTACTTAAAAAATACGAGCTTAAATCAGCATACGATGGTGTCCTGGAAGAATATCTCGACTTAGATCATATGGAAAAAGTAAATCCATATGAGAACATAACCGAAAGTAAATACACCTCGTTTTACTTACCCCACCACGGCTGTAAAACCAGACAAAAAAACAACCAAGGTAAGAGTTGTATTCAATGCTTCGAAATGTACAAGCTAAGCCAATTCCTTAAATGACATTTTGTACACAGGACCCACATGAACCCGATTTAATGCTACTGATTTTAAAGTGGCGTATGTTCTAATACGTATTTAACAGAGACGCCGTAAAAATGTATCAACAAATGCTCGTACATAAAGACGATCAAGACTTTCAGCGTATTATATGTATTTCGAAATTCACCTAATAGTCTAATATGTGACTGTAAACTCAAAACGGTGACATTTGGCGTAAATTGCGCCCCCTTTCTTGCCATTCGAACACTTTGCGAATTGGCAAATGATATAAAAGGAAAATTACCCCTTGAAACCCCGGTGTTAAAAACAAACATATGTGGACGATATCCTGTCTGGAAGCTACAGCTTACCCCTAGCGTACGAAGCACTATCAAGAGTGATACAAGCCCTCAACTCAGAAGGATTCCCCTAAAAAAGATAACCGCCAATCACCCCGAAATCGTAAAAGATATAAATAAAGAGAATTTATTACATTCAAACTTTCTAATATTCGAAAAGGAAAGTATCACAAAAACCCTGGGCATACAATGGAATGCGATCTCAGATAAATTCTCACATACTCTTGAATCAATATCTGCTCACTCCGCAATAGCTAAAAGACAAATCCTGTCGGTTGTACCGAAACTTTTTGACCCCGTAGGATGGCTTTCGCTAATTATGATACAAGCGAAAATCATGATACAAGAATTATGGCTAGACGGAACCGAATGGGACGAGCAAGTAAAACCACTTCGCTTGGTAAAATTGTCCCAATTTGCTAACAACTTGCATGCTATTTCCGAGATACAAATCCCTCGATGGATGAATTACTCCCCTGAATACCAAGTAGAACTGCACGGCTTCTGCGACGCCTCTGAAAAGGCAACTATATATTTAGGTGCGCACCCAAACTAACAGCACAATTTCAAGCCATTTATTAGTAGCAAAGGCCAAGGTGGCACCATTCAAAACACTAAGTCTACCACGACTTGAACTCTGTGGCGCGCTACTACTCGCAAAATTAGCCTCAACTGTGCAAACGCATTTAAACATGACCAATCAAAAATTATATCTATGGTCAGACTCAGAGATCGTCTTAGCTTGGTTAGAAAAACCCAGCCACTCATGGAAAACATACGTTTACAATCTCACAGCCCAAATACTGGATTTAGTTGGGCCAGCAACTCGACGACATGTAGCCAGTGCTGATAACTCCGCCGATCGTGACACAAGTGCAAACCCCTGCACTTCGCCACCACCTCACTCTAGTGGAACGGGCCCGACTGGCTAATAGAATTGCAACAATTATGGTCACAATCCCCCATACGCAACATAATTGCCCCAGAAAGTCGAAAAGTTTAAACCTTTCATACAATTTTGGATGACACTGACATCCTAGAACGATTTTCCTCGTTTCCCCGAGCCCTAAGGGTAGTCGCCTATATATACATGTTAACGCACCAAGACCTACAAAAAGCAAAGGTTTCTCTTGTTGCAAACACTCAAACGCGCTATTTCAGCTGCGAAATATTAATGCTAAGAGAATCAAAACCAATTGATAAAAAGAGTACTTAAGTACTCTTAGTACTCTTAGTACTTAATCCATTTTTAGACACGAAAGGTCTGCTTCGTGCTAATACATGGCTAGCGAATTCCAGCCTATAATAATACCAGAGAAATCCCCCTTTGCAACACTTTACCTCAGATTTCTCCACTTATTAATGCTACAAGCCAAACATCGCCTCATGAAAAAAATGGTCGGTCAAGAATTTTAATTCCACGACTAAAGCCACGGATCAAAAAAATGCATATTTATGTGTAAAGTCTGCACTATACATAAGCAGAAGATGCGCTTGCAGATCATGGCGACTCTTCCACCTGAACGCTGCAATTGCGCTCTGCCCTTCACTATCACTGGTGTTGACTCTGCTGGGCCTTTTCAGATAAAGGTGTCCATTTTAAGGACTTCCACCTTTGCGAAGGCAGTACACCTCGAGCTATGTTCTGATCTGACAACTGTGGCTTTTCTCGCGGCATTTGCTCGCCTTTGTCGAAGCCAAAAGAGCCACTGAAAAACAATTTATTAAATTTATAGGGGAAGTCTGGCCTGAAATCGTTAAAAAATACGCACCCCAAGGCATCGATTAACAATTTATCCCACCAAGTGCCTCACATATGGGTGGGCTACGGGAATCAGCTGTAAAAAGTTTCAAAACACTTTTTAAAAAAGTCGCTGGCACACAAATTTAACTTTGAAGAATTTAGTACATTAATAACCCGAATGGAAGCCGTTCTTGACTCACGTCCCCTCTCTGCGCTTTCGCAAGATCCCCCCGATTTCACTGCCCTCACCAGTTGCAGTTTCTTTGAGGAGCTCCACTTCTGGCAATACCGGATCCAGACAAGCAATCCTTATTTCTAATGAATCGATGGGAACGAGTGAAAATTCTCCATCATGAATTCAGTCGCAGATGGAAGGAAGATTATTTAAAAGACCTCCATAATAGATATAGATGGAAGAACACTCAAGAATAGCCTAAAATCGGAGAATGTGTTCTGATTCACGATGAACCGCGTGGCGGCTCGCAAGAATCAAAAATTACACCGTGGCTCCGATGGTCACATACGAGTCGTAGATTTGCGCACACAAAACGGTACACTAACCCGACCGCTCGTAAAACTTTGCCTTCTACCGACCGAAAGCGCCAATAATCAATGAAAATCAATAATCGTAATTCCGTCACTCCCAAAATCGCAAATAAAGAGAAAACCACGCAACTCAATTAACGTACATGAAAATAGTTTTTAATAATGTACACCTGACTAACCCAACAATTGAGCGTTAGCATACACGCTTTCACCCCCATCAACACCTTTCCCCCTAGTTCCATTTTTTATACCAGAACTTAATGGGCTGCAAAACTGCATATTCAAGAAAATTCCAAAAAATCTGATTAAAAAGTTGAAGATTTGCATAAAAATTTATTTAATTTTCGCGAGTTTTGCCCAAAGTTTACTTTAATTTTATTAACTGGTTTTAAAATTTTAATCCTTGTTTGATTTGACAGCAGTGTAAGGGAGATAAGTACATGCGGCACGCAAGGCTTTTTTAGAGATTCCACTGAACATAACGCTGATTTACTGTGACATTTCAAAAACGGTATTTTTGTGTATATGATGTAAAATTATTCGTTATATCATGCTTTAAACTTTGTAAAAAATTGAGGCCAAGGTTTCGTGTAGTTTCTGCGTAAAAAGCGAATATGCACCTGCATTTTCTAGTGCCAGTTTAAAAATTTCAAGGCATCTCCTGATCAATCACGTTTTGCGGTTGTAACGGCCTTTTTGTAAATGAGCGATAAGTAGTTATAAAATTAACAGTTCAACATTAATAGCCTTTGTTTATATTTTCTTTTATCAGGTACTTGATGTTGTTATAAAAGTATTTCAAAATGGTGGCGACGAGAAATTAGATGTTCCTCGGCCGCCGAGCTGTTTACCACCCTTATCTTCCATACATGACGAAAGTCCTGCTTTAACAACTGCTGAACGCTCGAAGCGATTTAAAGACAGATTAGCGCATCGACGAAAACAAGGAGAGATGTACAGTTTATGGTGTGACACATTATACCGGCTTTCTTTGGCAAATTATGTATTTGAATGTGGTACATTTCTGTATATCATTATAATAACAGTTATTGTTTCACCATTTTCAGTATCGCAATCGTGTATTTTGGCTGCCTCATAACATGGACTTTCGTGGACGGGTTTATCCCATACCACCTCATCTTAATCATTTAGGATCTGACTTGGCACGGTCTATGCTTGTTTTTGATCATGCAAAACCGCTTGGACGGAATGGTTTTAACTGGCTTAAACTACATTGTATTAACTTAACTGGTTTAAAGAAACGGGATTCAGTGCGTGAAAGATTATTTTATGCCGAAGAAATAATGGATGAAATTCTTGATTCAGCTGATAATCCATTGAAAGGAAATATGTGGTGGGTAAAATCAGATGAACCATGGCAAACACTAGCTTGCTGTATGGAGATAGCTAAAGTTCAACGTTCAAATAGTCCTGAAGGTAAGATTATTTCATATATGGCCCTAAATCCGCACTGTTAAGCACTTTGTGTACATTTTGGCTCACTTTGTGTACAAATGCCGCTGAAACTCGCTATAATATAATTATCTGATAGTTTTTCTTTTTGGATGTGAAAATATGAATATGGGCAAATCCTGGTGTTGCGGACGTTACGTTCGGACGTTTCTTTTAACTTTTTTGCCGACAAAAAAATAAAGTTCAAAATGGTTTGTGGTAAATATAAGGGAAGTTTTAAGGCAGTAATAAGTAGGTCAAAATAATGAAGTTTGCATTTTCATTTATGTCTGTGTATTTGCCTTCGTAATTTGCGTTCGGACGTTACTGAAAAAGGAAGCGATTTTGACATGACCATCGAAGTCAACCGATTTGCCCAAATTTTCATATATAGAGAGCACAATCTACAAATATACTTTGAAGAGAAAATAATGAAGTTTAGAAATTGTATTATGAAATTAAAGTAAAGGTTGGATTTACTTTAAAACAATTTTATACGTGCGTTCGGGACGTTACGTTGCGTATGTTACTCTTTTTTCCGTTGAAAAAATTTATTTTTTAAAGCGATATTGTGGCATTTTATTAAAAGATATAGTGCTTAAAAATAGAAGTATTCAGAGCTTTGTTTCAAGATGTAAGAGCGGAAAATCAGATTTCTCAAAAAAGAAATATGAAATAAGAATATTTGGTCCTATGCCATTTTTGATACAAAAATGCGAGAAATTGAATTGCATACATTCTTTCAGATTTTGGTTGACTATTTCTTGGATTCCCCCATAATAATAATAATAGATTGGCGCTTACACATATGTTAGTGTTGGGCCGAGCTTCTCCTCCGATTTGTGGCGTGCGCCTTGATGTTGTCACACAGAGCGGAGGGACCTACAGTTTTAGAAGAAGCTGTTTTTCATGGCAGAAATATACTCGGAGGTTTGCCATTGCCTGCCGAGGGACGACCGCTGTTAAGAAAAAACCTTTTTCTATACTTTTTTCGATGTTGCTCTGCCCAGGGTTTGAACCCTGGCGTTGCGGAGTGGAAGCGCGCACTGCTTACCACTACACCACAGCGGCCGACGCCCATATGCTGCTATATTTAGTACTAGACCTGGCGAACTTCGTCCCGCTCAAAATTAATTTTTTTTTATTGAAATATTTTGGTCCATCATTTTCACCAACAATTCTGTGGTCATAAGCAATAACCGACTATTGGATTATAATGTTAACCTTATGGGGAAAGCAAAATATGTTCGTCTATAACTTTTTAAATAGCCTAGCTGGCGAGTATAGTAGTTGCAGAATATATATAACTGAATTCTTTCTTAAGTCGACTTAGGTGGTTATTGCTTATGACCACATAATTCACGTATACGATTTATCTGCTAATATTATGGTTTAGTGGTCTTCGGTAGGCATACTTCCAAGGCCGTCTTAAATGGTGGGGTGCAATAACACCATACGCAATAAGGCCATATCGCACACGATCTTCAAAGGTGACACAACTCAAAATTACACGTTGGTTGGAAAATGCGAAAAATTATTTCTTAGCACATGCCAATCATATGGGCAATAGAGACTTTGCCTTAGGCTTTTTCAACAAATTATAATAAAAATTTGCTCCAGCTTTTGCTGAAAGGTAAATAAAAGCTCTCTGTACATTTTTAGCGCATAAATTCAAAAATGCCAAATTTTGAGTTGTGTCACTTTTGAAGATCGCATGCGATATGATCTTATTTCCATTTTGTTTTGGTAATAAAACTATATGACGTTATTTCCAATCCAGAAGTGAAATAAAGGAAAGGAGTAATAAAGTCATAATTGAAATTACAACCGCTTCAACGAAAAATGCATGTCTGACCACTCACAAATTTTTTCTAATAATTGACAGTGGGCACTTTGCCACGATCGTAGTAAATTTGTTACGATTTTTTAAAAATTTTAAAATTTGCTACCCAACTACGCTTTATCCTATTTGTAAATCACTGTAACTTCAAAAATGTGGTAAACAGGCCATGGCTTCAAGATCTAAATGTATACAGAACAGTGGTGCACAGCGTTGGCAGAGCTACCAACACAAGCGCAATTTTTGTGTGTCTGTATGTGTGTACTCCGCAAAACAGCTCACGCATGTGATGCTTACAGCATGAAGTACAAACGCAAACTGACCGGCTGCTAGCGGCGCATAAGTTCGGTAGCTGCGCACACACGACTTGTATGTGAAAGCCGAGTAGCTCCCGGAGACTCCCGTGTGCATCACTGATACAGAAAGATTCAATGAGCGAGAGGGACACAGATAAAAAGCGGCTCAACAGAGGCAAAAGGTTCGTTTTCACGCAATATTCCGTTGAAATCATATTATCGATATTCTCAAATAAAGTAAATTTTCTATAACGATGAGTTAATGATCAGTTTCAAAATTATGTTTTTATTGTTGGTTTGTACTAGGCTATTTTGATCAATTTGGCTTATATGCAAGAAAACCACAAACCAACAATAAAAACATAATTTTGAAACTGATCATTAACTCATCGTTATATTATTCTAATCGGAAGGCCTGCCGAAGTATTCCCTTTATTTATATCAACAAAAAACACTCACAAACATGAAGGATTATTACAAGCACATGAAATACAAACACGGAGAGCATATTTGCTTATACTTAAAACACTACAGTAAACAAAAACAAAAACTGGCAAAACAGATAACACAACTAAAATTCTTATTGGAATGTAGACGGTATGAACTAACACCCAACTACTTGACAAACGCAACTAAAAACATAAACATAAATACCACATCTCAGAAAATAAAAGCAAAAGTAGAGAAAACAAAACGAATGTTTCTAAAGAAAATATTAAACCTAGAGATCACACAAACAAACATGAACATTAAAAACACCAAAAGCTACATTCTGCACGCAAAACAGCAACTACATCACAGTATAAACGNAAACTACTTGACGACAAAAATACATATAAAACAATGAGAAATGACCCAACGACTACACTTCAGAGGAAAAACAATACCTTAGTTGACGACTTGTATAAAAAAAAGATTATTGCATTCAAAGAGAAACGACAATTGACATGCACCGCCGCGACTGCACCTAGACTTTATGGGTTGCCAAAGATCCACAAACCGGACTTGCCTTTACGGCCAATTTCTTCGTCAGTGAATGTCCCGTGTTACAGTTTGTCCAAGTATGTAGGTAATATTCTTCATAACCTTGTCATGGAAAAATACAACATAAAAAATGCATTCCAACTGAAAGAAAAACTAGAGAATATTCGGATAGAAGAGGAAGATTTATTGGTTTCCTTCGACGTGATATCCCTCTTCACCAACATTCCGACACATTTAGCAATTAAAATCATCCTCGATAAGTGGGACGACATTAAACCAAACACGAACATACCAAAAAATAAATTCCACAACATTTTGAATTTCTGTCTGAAAGAGAATAATTACTTCACATACAACGGAAACTTCTATGCACAGACCTTTGGGATGCCGATGGGAAATCCCCTCTCGCCAACGATTGCAGACATAGTTATGGACAATTTATTGGACAATACCGTGATGGAGCTAAAGAAACACCTCAACATTGACATTAAATTTATGGTTAAATATGTGGACGACATTTTTGCTATTGTAAGAAGAAACGACGTGGATATAATTTTAAAAACACTCAACGAATACCATCCTAAGCTACAATTCACTATGGAATCGGAAACGAATTCCCGCATCCCATTCCTAGACGTCATGATTCATAAGAAAAACGACTCCATACTACTTGACTGGTATTCGAAACCCACATCCTCCGGTCGCATAATTAATTTCATGTCTTCGCAACCCTTAAAATATAAAGTGAACACCGCAAAAAACCTAATCCATAAAATACTAACAATAAGCCACGCACAATTTAGAGACACAAACATTAACAGAATAAACAGAATTCTCACTAACAACAACTATCCGCACCACCTAATACAAAGTTTACTCAAACAAAAAATTAGGGAAATGGACAACCAGCACAACAAAACAACCAAGTCGAAAACAACAAGTGAGACAAAGCGATATCACAGTGTCACATACGTACCTAAGTTCCACCAACAACTTGAAGGCGAAATAAACAGCAATCAGAACATTACATTAGCATACAAATCTAACAACACCTTGTCTTCAATATTTACAAATACAAAATCTCCAATAGACTCCCACCAACAAAGCAATGTGGTATACGAAATCACATGCAAAGGGAGCGAAAACGAAGGCTGCAATAAGGTGTACATTGGCACAACGAAACGACCACTGGGAGTTCGCCTAGCTGAACATGAAGCCGACATTAGGAAGAATAAAAACAGCACTGCTTTAGCCCAACATGTGCTAGCCAGTGGTCGTACAGCTGATCTGACTAACGCGAGAATAGTGGATAGGGAAAAAAGAGAAAAACCAAGATACACACTAGAGAGTTTAAGAATTTTGCAAAAAAGAACTGTAACAATAAACAAAAAAGAAGACACTGACGACATCGCGGCTGCATACTTATTATGTTTATAGCCATTTTAGTATTAGTTTGACAAATGTACCACAGGGTGATGGTATGAACGCTATTTAAATTTTGAAGTTTTAAATGTTAAGTGTACAATAGTTTATTGTTCAAATGTAAGTTTTTCAATGTTTTCTCAAAAGTGTTTAAAGTTCAGTATCATGTTAAAAATTGCTAATTGTCATAGATTCAATAAAAAATTAGTTACTTGTTTTCTTGTGTGTACAAATGTTTTGTGTACATATTAACAAATTATATTATAACAATAACGTCCTTATGTTTGTTTCTTGTTGATTCTTTAATAAAGAAAACGCCCCAGAAGATGCCAAGGAGTTTGGCGAAACGTCGGGCAGCAAAGTGAAGAAAGTTTTTTCTTGCACATAAGCCAAATTGATAAAAATAGCCTAGTACAAACCAACAATAAAAACAAAGTAAACTT